GTCCAAAACTAACTGAGAGCATGTCTGAATGATATTATCTGCCAAATCCTGTAGTTTCATTGCAGAATTGTCATTCATTATGCGTTTAAACAACCTTTTGAGAAAGATTTCATTGGTGGCTTTGAACACCCCTGTTCCATAATTCATCAGATTCACTGTAATTAATTGTTCAGCAACAGAACTCCCCTTCTGTTTCATGTTTTCTCGAAGTTGCCAGAAAACAGAATCAAATATATTTCTTTGCTTCAATCCAGTAAACGACAGCTCATTTATGGTTTTTTGCCATATTTGTTCAAAAAAACTGTCAAGCTGCTTGTCAGTTATATGGGCATCACACTTTGAGCTGTTGTTTTTGCGTAACTCCTCCAGTAGGCCCAGCACTTTTTTCTCCATTGTATCAGTGAATGTTTTCTTGATGTTATCCAGATTGTTCATTCCTCTCCTAATGCCCACTGTTGCCTCAAGCTGTGTCAGCAATGAGCTCTCGGTTTCCCTCCTGAGAGATTTTACACTGCTCACAAAGTCTTCTTTGTACTTTTCCACAAGATAGACATGGCCCTCTGTTTGTTCAAAGTATTTGGAAAGGTTTTCCATTGTGATCTTTTCCAAGGTGTCAAGCTTTGTGACAGCTTCTTGTTTCAGTTTGCATAAAAGATCTTTCAGATCTGACTTGTCTGATTTCAGTTTGACTGTCTCAAAATTTGACACTCTGGTTTCAGCTACTGTTAACCAAGAGTGCATATGCTTCTTGAAAGACCATTCCCATTTATGAAATTCTGTGCACAGTCTCATGTATGCATCAGCCACCAAGCTGTTCCTGAAGCTAAATATGAAATTTTCATATTTGACTGCATTCCACAAGCTTTTTGTCCACTCCAAAAATTCTGATATGTTGTTTCCAGACGTTTTTTGTTTGCATTTTCCAATTACATCAATCATGTTCTTTTTAAGGTCATAGATAGCCTCAGAGTAGCCAGCGTTTACTGGTGCCATTGGAGGATTTCCATGCCACAGTCCAGGGATATACCAATTGCAAGTCTCCGGGTCATACTCCATCACATCAGTAAACATTTTATAGTCCTCCTTGTTCTCCATTTTAGCTGCAGCCTCTGTCATCTCATTCAGTTGCTCCAGCAGCAGCTTTCGATCTCTCATGTTCTTGTCATGGGCTGATACATCAGCAACGTTTTGGTGGACAAATTGGCAACTGGGTTTTTTCCCTATTTCCTTCATTCTGAGGAAAGCATGGACCACAATCTGCAAAATGTCCTTCATCTCTGTGGAATTCTCCATTGCGATGTTGATGATTGTAATGTCACTCAATCCAACAACAAGTGTGGCTAATTCATTGTCATGTTCGTGGCTATCATCTAGTTTTGCCAGCTCTGGGGATTTCAGACCTTCAGTGTCAATTATCACTAAATAATCACAGCCAAGTTCTTTCTTGATGTCCTCTTTGACTTTGATCAGCTGCATAAAAGCTCCTCTGGTGCATCTTCCACTGCTGACTGCAAACTGAACTCCAAACATGGTGTTCAGCAAGGTGGACTTCCCTGTGCTCTGGACTCCCAAAACTGTGACCACCATGATTTTATTATTTGGCTGCACCAAAGAGTTCAAATACAGAAGCACATCACTAACCCATCTGAGAGGAATATTTGATGCATCTCCATCAACCAGTTCCAGAGGGAAGCCATCCAACATCAGCTCAGCACATAGCCGGGGTAAGTGTAGCATTTGTTGACGAGATTGTACGTTTTCTGGAAGCGATACCGCAGCTTCATAGAGTTGGCCCATTTCACGCAGGAAGTGCTCTATTCCTAAAGAACTGTTTGAGATCTGTTGGTCAAGCTGTGCAATTTCCTCTTTGTTTTCTGAAAATTGCTGACACTTTTCTTTGTACTGTTCTCTGAGGCTAGAGAGGCTTTTTCGGGAGAGATTGTCAAGGTTCATCCGCATCCACTTCAAGAAGTAGGACCTCTCCTGGTTTGAGCTTGATAATGCACTAACAAAACAGGACATGGCCTCTGAGATATCATATTTACTCTGCTGTTTCCTGAGTTCAGTCTTTTTAATCCGGAGATCACTCTTGTATGTCTCTATGTTTTGATCACCAGCTTTCCGGAGTCTGCATTCCTCTTTCTCCAGTTTTGCCAAATCTTTCCATATTTTACCCTGAAGGCGAAGCTGATTCTCTTTGAACTGCAGTGTGTCTTGTATACTTTTCGTCAAGACATGCGCATTATTTTTTGCTTTCTGACATTCCTGGATGTTTTCGTCAACTAAAATTCCGAGTTCATGTGCTATAGTGTCCATTCCCTCCAGACGTGCTTTGTTGGAATGATTTGTAATTATGTGATTTACTGAAGAATGCAGATTTTTAACAAAATTTGCATCATTTTGATTGGTCTTCAGAATTACATTGTTTTTCTTCAAACCCATTTCAAAAGCTGTCCTTTTCAGCTGCTCCAAATCAAATGCCTTGTTTTGTACATTGCCCACTAAAAAAAACTGTGCTTTAGCATGTTGGTTGGTGAGCAACTTGTAGTTTGTGTCCAGATTGTCAAAAAACACGAAAACTGCAGTGGAGGTCTGGCATAAGAAGGAGTACTGTGTTTCAAAGGTCGTGATGTTGCCTCTCAAGTTTGCAACAGCCACTGGTTCAGGAAAAACATCAATGTTTTTGTTTCCACAGGGCAGATACCAACTCATCTCCAATAATCCATTTGATATCTTTCTTGGAATGTCTCCACAATCCATATCACGATGTACAAAAGTGTCATGATACTGTTGGGGGTTGCTGAGCAATTTGTTTAAGATCTGAGATTTAGAAATGCTGCAATCACCAAGTCTAACAAAGGATACTAGGGGGAGCTCAAAGTGAACAATTCTCTCCTCCACAAAGCCTCTTGGGTCTGACAAGGAATGAGGTCTACATTTTTTCACAATATCTCTCATGGCCCAAAGCATTAACATGCACTGGTGAGTGTCACAGTTTGGAAGAAGCAAAGGAACAGAGAACTGACACATTGACATTTTTGAGACCATTTCCTGTTGGAGGAAACCATCTGAACAAAGGAAAAGGGCGGACACTATGTCTAAAGGGTTCACACTGCTGTTCTGATCATTCAGAAAATCAAATGTTTCATTGTATAAATCTAAGCTTGACAAATCCTCACTCTCATCGAATGAATATTTTACACTTCTTGCAGTCACATTCACCATCATCAGTTTCTTCAGGAATAGCCATGGTAAAGATGACAGAGACAGGGCTGGCTCATCTGTCACTGACCTCTTCTCAATCTGTAGCACATCGCTGAGTGAGAGTTTGTTAGGGTAGTACTGCTCCAACCCCAAATCCTGTAAAAGGCTCTGGATGTTTGTTTCTGTTGAAAAAAAAACAATTTGTTTCTGCTCAATTCACATTTTTTTAAATAAATGTTATCAAAGTCTATAAAATGAGACATATTAATGTTTGTAATAAAGTTTGCTATATTATACTAACTGGTTTGAGCATATGTGACTGCTTCTTTACTTCTGTTGCCATTTGGAAGCACTTTAATAATGTGAAAAGAGTACTTCTTTCCAGGACTTAGGTCACGGAAAGTCACAGTTCTTGAAATTGTTATCTCTTCCTGAAAGCTCCCTCCATTGTGGCTGCAAACAACATGAAACTTGTTCTCCTCACAGCCAGATGCATCCCAAATAAGAGAAACTGATGTGGTGCCCACACTCTCAACCTTGACGTTTTCTGGTGGTACTGGCCCTGCAATGAAAACAATAAAAATAATTGTTATTTCTATTTTAATCACTTTTAAAGACACACTGTAATACAATTCTAAGTTTATACTGCATAGACAGACTGAAAGGCAATTACTGGTGCACGCAGTCACTTTAACTCCCACACTGCATTCTCCATTGTCTGATACTGAAACAAGGTTGAAAGTGTACTCAGTCCCTGGACACAGATCTTCCACCTCTATGGTTGAGGCATTTGTGATAGTAGAGGTATTTGTAGATGTGAGACTGTAGTAGGTCAACTCAAATGTAGATATGTTGTCTGGACTATCCCAAGCAAGAATAACAGAACTGGTACCAATAAGCTGCACTAAAATTTCATTTGGAGCAGGGATATCTGTGGAAAAAGTACTGATTGGTTTATCAGTCAGATCACATCACATATCACATGTCATTCAACATCAACACAGATGTTTAAGAGATACAAACAGTTCTCTCTGCCTGTCAGATGCAAGGTTAGTTGTTTTCTTATTTGTAATAATATGCACTGATGCATTATGTACAATAAGACCAAAAATGTGATTGAAAGAAAACAGGGTTCATTTTGATTTCAGTCAGAAAGTATTAAAATGTCTTCTTCTTGGCATCAAGTCATCCAAATCCACATTTAAAACAAACTATAATAATGAAAAAAGTTGCTAACATTTGTATAAAGTAAACATTAATTTAAATTGTGGTAAACATCCCAATCTCAAAGATACATAGGCTATATGCTCCTGATACAAGGGTAATTTTGTTACCTTGTAACTTGGAAACATCTTCCTTTTGATATGTCTCAACAGCATGTGCTCCTGAAGTAAATGCTTGCTGTTCGTCTTCAGGGTATTCACTAGCATCTGCAAATTCCTTAATTTGAAAGTTTTTAAAGCATTAGTGGCATGCAAACTCAGGTTTGCCAAGACTAAATTTGACTTAAAGAGTATTTAGTGTATGCAACTCTCAATTACTAATCTAATACACATCATTTGAAAACAAATCTGCCTTGTGAAACAAAGAGGAAAAGATGCTTACTTCCTCCTCACTGGGGCAGTCCATTCCAACTGCTTGTCGGTTGACTGAGACTAAAAGAAAACTGATTATATGAATTAGTAGACTATAAATCATTCAGTAATTGTTAAGTGATTAATGGTGGCTTCATTTATTTACATTAAATAATTTCACACTTTACTTTTCAAAGCTTTATTAAGGTAAATTTCCATTTGCTATGGACACGTCCATGCCCGTAGCCAGCTATGGCCCTGTCCCAACTGGAACATTTCATGTGCACTTGGTCTTATGGACTTACACGTGGCCGCCATGTGCGCGTGTCCGTTAAATCCATGAGAACGTAGGGTGCCATTTGGGACAGGGCCTATGAGGTCACAAATTTTTCATGTTCAAAAATAAAATTTGTTCTCTAAATGACTAATCTGCTGTTTAAAGCTCCTCATATAAGTGTCTGCATGTATAATTGTGCCCACACTCTCAACCTTGACGTTTTCTGGTGGTACTGGCCCTGCAATGAAAACAATAAAAATAATTGTTATTTCTATTTTAATCAATTTTAAAGACACACTGTAATACAATTCTAAGTTTATACTGCATAGACAGACTGAAAGGCAATTACTGGTGCACGCAGTCACTTTAACTCCCACACTGCATTCTCCATTGTCTGATACTGAAACAAGGTTGAAAGTGTACTCAGTCCCTGGACACAGATCTTCCACCTCTATGGTTGAGGCATTTGTGATAGTAGAGGTATTTGTAGATGTGAGACTGTAGTAGGTCAACTCAAATGTAGATATGTTGTCTGGACTATCCCAAGCAAGAATAACAGAACTGGTACCAATAAGCTGCACTAAAATTTCATTTGGAGCAGGGATATCTGTGGAAAAAGTACTGATTGGTTTATCAGTCAGATCACATCACATATCACATGTCATTCAACATCAACACAGATGTTTAAGAGATACAAACAGTTCTCTCTGCCTGTCAGATGCAAGGTTAGTTGTTTTCTTATTTGTAATAATATGCACTGATGCATTATGTACAATAAGACCAAAAATGTGATTGAAAGAAAACAGGGTTCATTTTGATTTCAGTCAGAAAGTATTAAAATGTCGTCTTCTTCAATTAAGTTTAGACAGTTTGCAAGAATGTTTAGTGCCCGTGGTATGAAAATGATCGCAGCCAGACGCTGGCGGAGTGAACGAGGTTTGAGAGAGTTGTGAGTGAGGGCGCGGGCGCACCGTGTTACCAGATCCAGTTATTATAAGCGTCTTTGGACTTGTCTTTTCTTCTTAATTTGACACTTTAGAAAGTAAATAGAGCAGTTGCAATTTAAGGTTAGCAATATCTTTATCTTTGTCATGTTCCATAGTTTATAACGCGAGTAAAAAGCACACAAACACCCTTGGACTCCCAACTAGCATTGCATTTATTCTACTGACTCAACAAAAAAAATAATCAGGAATCAAACCATGTAAAATATTGGCATGTAGTTTCACTACATAGATTATCCCACAATCTTATTTTATTTGCAAAAGATTTTAACTCATTTCGGTTTATTTATTTTTCGGTTTTTATTTGTTTTCAAAGTAATATGGGTATTCTCAGAGCCGTTGAGAAACAGACTTGCGACACTCCCATAGGCTTCCATAGGAACTGAGGAACGCGGAAGTAAAGCGTGTCATGGAGCAGCCAATAGATCACAGTCAGATCACATAACATATCACATGTCATTCAACATCAACACAGATGTTTAAGAGATACAAACAGTTCTTTCTGCCTGTCAGATCCAAGGTTAGTTGTTTTCTTATTTGTAATAATATGCACTGATGCATTGTGTACAATAAGACCAAAAATGTGATTGAAAGAAAATGGTTAATTTTGATTTCAGTCAGAAAGTATTAAAATGTCGTCTTCTTCCAAGTCATCAAGTCATCCAAATCCGCATTTAAAACAAACTATAATAATGAAAAAAGTTGCTAACATTTGTATAAAGTAAACATTAATTTAAATTGTGGTAAACATCCCAATCTCAAAGATACATAGGCTATATGCTCCTGATACAAGGGTAATTTTGTTACCTTGTAACTTGGAAACATCTTCCTTTTGATATGACTCAACAGCATGTGCTCCTGAAGTAAATGCTTGTTGTTCGTCTTCAGGGTATTCACTAGCATCTGCAAATTCCTTAATTTGAAAGTTTTTAAAGCATTAGTGGCATGCAAACTCAGGTTTGCCAAGACTAAATTTGACTTAAAGAGTATTTAGTGTATGCAACTCTCAATGACTAATCTAATACACATCATTTGCAAACAAATCTGCCTTGTGAAAGAAAGAGGAAAAGATGCTTACTTCCTCCTCACTGGGGCAGTCCATTCCAGCTGCTTGTCGGTTGACCGAGACTAAAAGAAAACTGATTATATGAATTAGTAGACTATAAATCATTCAGTAATTGTTAAGTGATTAATGGTGGCTTCATTTATTTACATTAAATAATTTCACACTTTACTTTTCAAAGCTTTATTAAGGTAAATTTCCATTTGCTATGGACACATCCATGCCCGTAGCCAGCTATGGCCCTGTCCCAGCTGGAACATTTCATGTGCACTTGGTCTTATGGACTTACACGTGGCCGCCATGTGCGCGTGTCCGTTAAATCCACGAGAACGTAGGGTGCCATTTGGGACAGGGCCTATGAGGTCACAAATTTTTCATGTTCAAAAATAAAATTTGTTCTCTAAATGACTAATCTGCTGTTTAAAGCTCCTCATATAAGTGTCTGCATGTATAATTAAGTTTAGACAGTTTGCAAGAATGTTTAGTGCCCGTGGTATGAAAATGATTGCAGCCAGACGCTGGCGGAGTGAACAAGGTTTGAGAGAGTTGTGAGTGAGGGCGCGGGCGCACCGTGTTACCAGATCCAGTTATTATAAGCGTCTTTGGATTTGTCTTTTCTTCTTAATTTGACACTTTAGAAAGTAAATAGAGCAGTTGCAATTTAAGGTTAGCAATATCTTTATCTTTGTCGTGTTCCATAGTTTATAACGCGAGTAAAAAGCACACAAACACCCTTGGACTCCCAACTAGCATTGCATTTATTCTACTGACTCAACAAAAAAAATAATCAGGAATCAAACCATGTAAAATATTGGCATGTAGTTTCACTACATAGATTATCCCACAATCTTATCTTATTTACAAAGGATTTTAACTCATTTCGGTTTATTTATTTTTCGGTTTTTATTTGTTTTCAAAGTAATATGGGTATTCTCAGAGCCGTTGAGAAACAGACTTGCGACACTCCCATAGGCTTCCATAGGAACTGAGGAACGTGGAAGTAAAGCGTGTCATGGAGCAGCCAATAGTTCCAAACACTGATCTATAATAGAGAACTGGATTGCTCGTGACGTCATAAAAGTGAAGTCGCAGAGCCGCCATATTGGTATTCCCTAGTATTCCCATAAATTCTATTGAATGAATAAGAAATTGTATAATTTTAATGAGAAAACCACCTAACAAGTCAGCGTTTTTATATCTGAAGTATTCCTGTACATTCTTACAATGCAAACGTCCTGCATATAAGCGGTTATTTGTTTAGTGTTAGGAATTGTATTAAAAAGTTATGTTCATATACATTACAGTAGCGAATATCAGATAAACATGATGGACATCAGACGTTCAACATATGCATTACAAATGACAAAGTGCTCATTCTGAAATCTGAATAAAGACTTATGCTTTGTATACACGTATATACCTTAATTCGCCTTGTACAGTTATTTCACTGTTTATGTAATTTTGTTATAGTGTTTTTATTCATTTTATTATTTGACTGCAAATGTTTCAAAATGATTTCATTAACAGCATTCATTTTGAAGCAGATAATGATTTAAAAGTTTAATTAATTAATTAAATTAATGATTAATTCGACATATACTGCTAATAAAACGCCAAAGAATTAGCGCAGTTTTGGAGAGTCTGAAATAGATGTAGCTCAATCAGGACATTAAAAATATACACATAACTTATTCAGATAAATAACACTGACTACATACGGTACGGACTTATACCAGATATATATATTCATGTTTAATATTTCCTGCTTAATTGCATACAGAAATAGTCTATATTTTGTGTTGGTTCAGTTACCTGTGTTGGTAAGTGCGCAGCAGACACACCCACCTAAACGATTTCAATATCGCTTATCCTGCCCGAAAAGACCATAAACATTGCAGATAAAATCTGAAGTAACAATTAATTTACATACACATATCATAAAAACTAATCCCGTGTGATTGATATGCTTCAAATTTGGGGATTTTAGATCAAGATTTTTGCTGTCAGTCAATGATGCTCTCTGCCGGTAGGGAATAGTAAGATGGCGGCTCGGACACTTCCGGTGGCTTCACAGCCGAATGGAAGTTTAGAATGTAATGAGCGATCCAGTCAAATATATAGATCAGTGGTTCCAAACAACCAATAGTTCCAGTATTGAATCCCATTCATTTCAGTGCTTCTCAAACACACTCGCCAGAAAGTTGAGGAAATTGCAGCAGTTTTTGGCATTTTAACGCATTAGTTTACCTCTCGGAAATCTGGCCAGTAGTTGTATTTTATGAAACGCATTATAGTTAATGTTTAGTTTTAGATAATAGGCAGTTATGCTATATTTTCAGTTAGATAACGTGAGAAACACCTAATAGTGATCATAACCAGATGCTAGTTGTCATATTTTTAAGTTTTTAGTCTTTCTGCAATCTTTCTCTCCCTGTAGGAAGTTGAATGAGTTTCAGTGAAGACTACCCATGAAAGGAATACAAGGCCTTTTTTTAACATGCACTTATATTGTCTTCTTACATACATGTCATAAAATAATACTGGGATGTGAGTAATCTTTTTTAATTCAACATGCAGAAAAAATGCAAAACTTATAAACATTGAGTGTTTGGTAATGTCTAAATACACAATGCAAAACATAAAATAAATAAATAAGCAATTATGACCGGTAAAACCCTTTACAGTCAGCAACTAGAGTAGAGCAAAATATAGGCTATATTTATCAAACAGCCATACGGGCATCTAGTGGTTAAACCATGGCATTACATAGGAATATTATTTTTCTGGCCACCAAACGCCTCTAATTTGCCTCTTTGCACTGGAATTTAAAACCATTTTCTCTATTTTAACCCTAAATACTACGCTAACTGTAACATAAATAATAAGCATATTAGAAAAAATATTAATGCTGTCTCTTCATCACTCCCCAGAATAAAATGTGATTGTAAAACGTAGTCAGCATAGTTACCAATACACAATCAATGCACATGATGTGTTAATAATCACTAGAAATTGCTGCAAATATAGAGAAACTGCTGTCTATCCTACTTAAACACATTCAAACATATTGCCAACGCGGAGTTGTTTGGAACTATCAAAGAGTATAGTATAGACAAAAGTCGCTGCTGGTGTGAACGCAGCTTTAGGATGACAAAAAGTCTTAAAAGTTTTTAGGTTGTTTCGCCTCAGCGCTCGTAAATGATTGATAGCGAATCAAATCAGGCGGGCTTTACTCATCACAGAAAACAGCTCACTTGAATGAGTGCGTATCGGAGCGCGTAAAGCACGACACTAAGCAACGCCATGTTCGTGGATAGCAAGAACTGATTTAAAAAAATCACGTGTAGGCCCACCTTGAATGCAATGCAAGTCGCTTCGGATAAACAGTACAAATGTATTTCTTTAAAATAAATTCTAAAACAACAACCACGTGTGATACGTGTGTATAGCACATAGACTGTAAATGTATATCACCACATGTTTATAGCGACTCAGTTGCCTCATGATGGGATAGTGAAGTCAGAAAAATAACACTGAAGAGACTAGCATGCGCTCACTGGAGTTGCGCGGCAACGCAATGAAACACCAGCGGAGCAATGTTGTCTTTTACTAGGCTTTTAACGCCTGTATTAGCCTAACAGACATATTCTTTCTCCACTCTGAATGGTAGTCTATTATCATTACCTGGGTGTGTGGGGGGGGGTCTAGGCTATTGTCATATGAGAACGATTAAATTAGCTGAGGCTGAATTTACAATAACATATACTCTAGGCAAATAAAGACAGTGATTCAGCAAATCTGGTCGATTAATACTAAAAATACTTACAACTGGTTATCCACTTGTCAAGTGAAAGAAAACCTCTGCATTTCAAAGTTGTAGCCAGTCTTCTTTTAACTGAATCTAACCACGCCTGACACATTTGTACCCTGTAACGTGAGAGACTCAAAAGACTAAACCATTTAGGCAACTATTTCAAAAGCACTGCGACCGCGTTTACTGTTAGTGTAAGTGCTTTACAAAAACATTTGCTTAGATTTTCGTTGTCTCCGAAGTAACTGAAGGTTACATTACATTTCATTTCAATTCGCGCATAAACGTAACAATAACATATTTTTCAGTGGTTTAGTCCTAACGCCAAAAATGAAACTATGATTTACATCTAAAACGAAACTCATAGGAGAACATAGCATTTCTGCGAAATACAGGGTAGAGTGTACCCCCCCCCCCCCCCCCCCCCCCCCCGGGTTTTAGCTGCTTGGAAAGGGAGAGTCTGGTTTTGCTGAGATGGTTCAATTTTTTGAACACTGACCAGTTGCAAACAATTCAATAATAAGAAATTAATATTGTGGTATACATTACACACGATATTGTCTGGTTCTGCTAAATTGTGTACGTGAAAATATTACCTATAAAGCCACAGAAGAACTGTTGTGCGTCTCCTAATATCATAATAGTAATATTAATATTAAGGCCTGTAGATAGGGAGTATTTAAGAAAAATATCATTATATTTTCAGAATGACAAAAAAAATGTCAAACCTAGTCTGTGGGATAAAGGGGGCATGGCTTAATTACTGTATTACTCTGTTCTAAACATCAAATCCTTAGTTTTTCCGTCAAATGTATTCTAACTAGGTTGGTTGAATAAAGATATTTGAACTTTATATTTAGCATCAGCTATAACAATATTTTTCAAATAGGCTATTATAATTTTGTAATTATTATTGATTATATATTTTTTTTATTTGAAGCTAAAACTGCCTGTACTCTGATTTTGCTGTAAATGTATAAAGCAAATTGCTTTCTCAGACTGGGGGCATTTTACCCCACCTGTGGGGCATAACACCCCTGGTATAAATTTTATTTTTGTTAAAAATCTAATAACATGAAAACTCACAAGACATTTTTCTTATGTGGTTTGTCATTGTCACTAAAATATACGACGGCGTTTTAGTGCCACGTTAAAAAAAAATCTAAATTTACGAAATTAAAGTCGTAATATTTCGAGAATAATGTTGAAATTACGAGAATAAAGTCGAAATATTTCGAGAATAAAGTCGAAATTACGAGAATAAAGTCGAAATATTTCGAGAATAAAGTCGAAATGTTTCGAGAATAAAGTCGAAATAGCCTACTACAAGAATAAAGTCGAAATATTTCGAGAATATTACGACTTTAATCTCGTAGTGGGGGGTATATCTACCCTATAATATTTAGATCACCCTCAAAAGAAGAAAGAAGATAAACAGAAAGAAGAATGCAAAATTTGGGCACTTGGCTACATCCCCTGCCTCAGTATTTCAATCACTAACAGCCGAACATTCTGAACGTGGCTTATAAAACATTGATGAGATCAAATTCAGTAGGCTATACATGAGATTGATTACATATACTATTTACAGGCAAGCAAATGAGCCCAGAAAATTAGCACAATGCTCTAAATTGCAGGTTAAGCTTTTTCTTTATTACTTTTTTTATGGGAAAATACTTAACGTGAAACTTCGAGCGTTGTGTTCATTGGGTTCATCTGCTTGCCTATATAGTTTGTTTTATTAATAAGGCTAAACTAAATAGTCTTAAATGCATTAAACCATATTAAGCATTTTCTTTATAATGGTTTCCTATGGGAAAACGTTTAGCGTGCATACATAGAATATATTAATAATCATAAAATAATATATTTCCTTGTAGAGAGAGTGGTAGAGAACGCGTTAAACTCGGAGCGCTCTTGCGGCTGTCTGACTGATCCGCCAGTGGAAGCGACAATAACCAAACCAGTTGGGATCACGGTCAGTTAAACACGCTAAAATCCTCTAAAACATCAATCATGTAAAAGTAAAGAACTGAACAGGTTCACAATAAGAAATTGCACAAAACACAAAATCTGCCGAAAATTTATGGTTGCTGAAACTTGTGAAGGCATACTGCCAGCCAGCCAGGCACTGACAGGTCACGTGACTTGCCACTGGCAGCTGCCACCAGCCACTGGCAGGTCACGTGACCTGTCAGTGGCGGCTATGAGATCAAATTC